AATTCCTTCCATCTTTGAACGATAACAGCGGAAGGAGTATTACCCTCCAGAGTCTGTTGCCCTTGAACATCCACTGTCCATTTCCTAGCAACTAGACTGTGGTCTACAGTACCAATTCTGGTTTGACTGGATGGAGACAAACTGTCCTCTCCCTTCTCCTTGCTCTACAATCATTAAATAGCTGCACTGGTTGCCTGCTGTGTAGTCACTATCTTTCAGCCAGAGCGTGTATAGTATCTTTATAGTCTTCAGCGGTTTGGCAGGGCTTAAGGCTATTTCTGCTCTGTTTAGGAATAATTCACCTGGTCATCCTTTTTCCTTTGTGTTTTATTGATAAAGGTGTTTCCTTGAAAACAAGTTGTGATTCTTAATCCTTACACTGCTTTCTAGCAATGGGACATTGGCAAGCTGGAAGGGTTTGACAGCTGGGAAAGGAACAGGAGCTTGCAGGTCAGTTTGGCAGCATGAGGAGTACTTAGCGTAGAAATGGTGGCAGGGGTCAGCAGCAGGAAGGGGCTCTGGTTGCCTGTGGGTGGAATTAGCAACTGGGAAGTTGAGTGAAGCTTAGAGGCTATGATACAGGGTTACACGCTGGTTGGTACCTGAGGAGAGATCCCATTTACACACATGAATGCTTATCTGCTGTGCTCAGACATGAGTGAGTATGACCTAGATCCTCAAAGATATTTAGGTGCCTAACCCCCCCTGATTTTGAAAAGACTGGTAATACAAGAGAGAACTTTTTACCACTGTGTTGTATGTTCTCTAATGTTGTTCCTAAGAACTGTTTAAGGGGGCCTCATATTTGCCAGTGGACAGGTGTCCACACCAATGTTGGCAGTATCAGGAGAGGAGCCAAGGGCTGAATGGCTGTGGAGCCTGATCTATTCCCTTCTGATGAAAGATGGTTCTAATGCAGAATAGGCAAAAGAGTTTAAGTATTTATGTATTTAAGAAGAAAACAGATAATGTAAAGTCATGTCATATATGATGAAACTTTCCTTTCCAGTAACAACTATGGAGGCTTTAAAACAGCAGCTTCTAAAATCAGACATTTTTAAATCAGCTCGTCTGGATAACTTGCATCCAAGAGTTTAAAAAAAAAAAAAAACTGGCTGAGGAGCTCTCTGGACCAGTTATGTTGATTTTCAATCAGTGCTGGAACACTGTGGAAGTTCCAGAACGCTAATGTTGTGCCAATACTCTAAAGGGGAAAGAGGATGACCTGGGTAATTCCAGTCCTGTCAGACTAGTATTGATCCTGGAGAAGACAATGGAATGCCTAATACAGGACTCAGTTTAATAAAGAATGTTAGTTAATGCACATCAGCGTGGTTTATGGAAAAGAGATCCTTTCAAACCAACTTCATATTTTTTTTGAGACTACACATTTGGTTGATAAAGGTGATAGTGTTGATGTACTGCACTTAGACTTCTGTAAGGCATTTGACTTGGTACCACCTGACATTTTGATGACAGAACTAGAATGATACAAAATTAATGTGGCACACACATTAAATGGTTTTAAACTGAGCTACCTGATTGGTCTCAAAACATAATTGTAAATGGGGAATCACCGAGCAGGCATGTTTCCAGTGCAGTCCTGCAGGTCTATGCTATGTAACATTTTTATCAGTGACCAGGAAGAAAACAAAATCATCACTGATAAAGTTTGCAGATTACATAAAGATTTGGGGAGTGATAAATAATGAAGAGGGCAGATGATACCACTACAGAGCAATCTGGATCACTTAGTAAACTGGACACTAGCAACTGCTATGCATTTTAATATGACCCACTATGAAGTTATGCATCTAGGAACAAAGGATGCAGGCCATACTTACAGACTAGGGTGGGGTATGGTGAGGGACTAACCTGGAAAGCAGTGGCTCTGAAAAGGATCGGGGGCGGGGGGGAAGGAGGGAGTGTTGTTATGGTAGATAATCAGTTGAACATGAGCTCCTACTGTGATGTTATAGCCAAAAGGGCTAATGTGATCCTTGAATGCCTAACAGGAATCTTGAGTAAAAGTAGAGAAGTGATTTTACCTCTGTTGCACTGGTGTGACTGCTGCTGGAATGATGTGTCCAGTTCTGGTGCCCACAATCCAAGAATATTGTTGATAAATTGGAGAGGGCTCAGAAGAGCCATGGGAATGATTAAAGGGATTGGAAGACATGCCTTATAGTGATAGACTCAAGGAGTTCAATCTGTTTATTTTAACAAAGAAAAGATTAAGGGACTCTGGCCTGAGCCTGGATGTCTACACAGCAATTTTATAGCCCCACAGCCTCAATGCTGAGTCCCAGGCTGATGTGGGCCAGCTGCATGTATTTTGTTGCAGTTAAGACATAACCACAGTGTCATGGCTAAATTACAAGGTGCAACAGATTGTTCAGCATAAATAGCTAATGCATATTTCAAGGGACCACTGAATGTCAAGAGGCCAGTTAACAGCCTTCCCATCAGGGATTAGAGTGTTATAAGCAGCCACAAATAGTGTCTCTTTTCAGTCCATGATTTTCAGTGTCTTTGGACAGCTCTGGAATCTGAGGGCAATCTACGATGATTATACATTACATTGTTTCCAACACTTCTATCTTCCCTCTGTGCCTGTATTTCTCCTCTGGTACAAGCAAAACACGTTTTAGCTAATATCTCTTATTCAGATGCTTCTTGGAAATGGTAGGGCAGCCTGTTTGTCCTTTCTTGGCATCCTCCCCAAGCTAGAGCTGCATTTCTGTGCCTGCCCTTTATTCTCAGGAGCACTACTTTGGAGCTCACAGCAACCAGCAAGTTGCCCTTAGGATCAGCAGACTAGAGGTGGATGGAGAGAAAGAATTATCTCCTTTTCCTTTGACAGGTGTGGTTCTTCTGCTAGCATTGCAGGGGGAAGTCACATCAGTACTACCAGACTGCACTTATTGCTTACACTGTAGAGGATTGCAAGGGCACTTTGAGATGAGGCTTTAAAAAAAAAAAAATACGGATGGGAGTAGTAGGTGGTAGCCACCAGCTCTTAAACTAAGGGCTTGTCTACATTACTGGCTGGATCAAGGGGCAGCAATCGATCCAGCAGGGGTCAATTTATCACGTCTAGACTAGACAGGATAAATCGACGGCCAAGCGCTCTCGCAGTGAAGACTCTGCGGTAAGTAGATCAAAGTACATTGACTTCAGTTACACTCAGGGCCGGCTCTGGCTTTTTGGCTGCCCCAAGCAAAAAAAAACAAAAACCTGTGGTGTGGTCGGAGCGCCGGTGCAGGGGGACCAGCTGGGTGGGGAGGCGGAGGGAGCAGGCGGGAGAGAGAGAGAGAAGGGGGTGGCCAGGGCTACAGCAGGGGCGCTGCCTCCTGCCGCAAGGGCTCCACTCCGGTCGGCGGAGAGGGAAGGAAGAGGACTGCCCTGCAGGCCGCTCTGGTTCTCCGTGCCGCCGCCCCGTACAGGGCGCCCGGAGCAGAACGAACAAAAAAAAAAAGGGGGGGGGCCATGCCACCCTAGGATTGGGCAGAATGCTGCCTCCAACAATCTGCCGCCCCAAGCACCAGCTTGTGCCTGGAGCTGGCCCTGGTTACACTATTCACATAGCTGAAGTTGCTTAACTTAGATCGATTCCCCCTAGGGTGACCAGATGTCCTGATTTTATAGGGTCAGTCCTGCTGTTTGGAGCTTTTTCTTATATAGGCACCTATTACCCCCCCCCCCCCCCCCCCCCCCCCTTCTTTTTCACCCCCTCTACCTCACCCCCCCCACCCCCCCCCCCCCCCCCCGTGTAGCCCAGGGATAAGTAAGGAGAGAATAGTGGAATTAGTGTGTGCGGCAGTGGGGGACTAGTGTTAGTCTACTTGTTCTAGTGCCCTGCACCAGGGAAAATGAGTAGTGCAGTCACTCATGTGCAGGATATCCTCTTGGCCTGTGCCATTAGCTTTTAATCCCTGCCCCCCCCCCCCCTAACAATTTTGTTGCTTAAAAAATTCATCAGGTTTGTTTTTCATTTTAGTGTCAGTTGCTTTATTACTGGGCACAATACAATTTCACTTCCTCATACACACAAGCCACAGTAACATGTCAAACATTTCCTCTCCCCTATCATGGTTAAACTGTTTAAAAAACAAGACTAGTCCACACTGTCAGTCTGTTCTTGAGAGGGATTCTACTACCATACCTTGCAATAGCAGCAGCTCTGTCACAAACACTATTTAACAGCAGGGAACTTGCCAAGTGAAGCTGATGAGTTTAGTCTTTACTGCTTCATCAGCTTCCTTCTCCCCCACTCAACACGGTCAGGACAGCTTTTTCTCCACATGTAAACTCAAGGTCTGGTAAGGGGCTCACACCTTTGTGCCACACCCTGCACTGCAGGGCATGAGCTGTTACACCGGCAGACAGACATTCCCCCTCTTAAGGAAATATGTATTACTACACATTACAATAAATACATCTTCAAGTTGCAAAAGTAAGTGCATTGGTTCTGTCCCTTTGAGACATATATAAGGAGGTAGGGCTCATAAGAACCTATAGAGGCAAATCAATTTTATATTGCACAGGAGCCCCGGCATTATACTTTAAAGTCCAGTCACTGTACTGGAGGTGGGAGAGGGAAGGAAGAGGAGGTCTCATTTGATACCAAGCATGCTCTTGTCCCCACCACTGTACAAGTGGCTTTGCCAGTCTGAGGTAGAGTGACTGTTATACTGTGAAACAACACTGCAGTCAAGTCCAGCTCAACTGGTGTCCAAAATAAAAGTACACTGAGGAGGACAGCATCCTCTCTCTCTAAAAGAAGAGGAGTGAACACCATACTGTTCACATTTGACTGCCACAGAACCAAACCTTACAGTGAAAACTCACCAACCAGTCATGATCCTCACACCCAGCTAGGAGACCAGGAATGGGCACCATGTTTCCACAGGTGGTGAGTGTGGCAGCTCAAGTATGCTTGTAGCAGTTTCCCCGCCCCCAACTACTTGTTCACTGTCATGCTTATGTCTCAACCAGTCCAATGTATTTTTTCCTTCCCCCTCATGTCTTCATTTGAAAATATCAAATGAAGACATCTCCCCTTTCAGCCCTCTGAGATAGGAGTCTCATTCACACCTCCACTAAAGGCTCCTCAGCCTGGCATAGACAGGGCAGGATGGAAACAAGGGCCTCCTCAATGGAAAACAAGTGTTCGTCCTCCACCTGGGGACAAAAGTAGCGCATGAAGTCTGCCAGTCGCAGCAGATACTCTATGTTGTGTCCAGACCGACCGCTCGAGACAATGATCTGGGCTGCAATGTCCTCTTCAGACGCTGGGCCAAGGTAGGTGGGGTTCTGGGGTGTAGCAATGTAAACTAGGGCCAGGATGGGTTCGTCAGCCTCTTTATCCTGGGGGTGGAACTTCACTAGTTTGGTGTCATAGCCCCCCAGGACTGCTTCTCGCATGTTCAAGTACTGAAGCGATGCAGCAATCTGCTCTCCACGGACTTCATAGGCAACACCCCACGTGCATGCCTGAAATTACAAGTGAAGGTTATTTGCTGCTGCAAATACAATGCAACAAATGCACCAGCATTTCCTATACAAAACCTTGTGTTTCAGGTGCATGGTCACCCTGTCTAGTTAAACAATGGGAACAAGGCCTGAAAAGACAACCAGGCATCTGAGAAGGGACAGCACAACTGATCCAAGGAAAGGGAAGGAGGAAGATATGGTCTCCTTCTTCTGTTCACCAAGAAGGCAGCAAGGAATAGTTGCCTCTGTCTTTCAAAGTCACTTAAAGTGCAAAATTCAGCTCTTGGTGTATGCCATTGAAATAAGAGAAACTGGCCCCAGAACACTCCCAGCAGCCTAGTATTCTTTCACAGGGCAAAAAGACTATCTTCTGACTAGCTTATTCTGGAGGTAAATCTAGTGTCCACTTTCATCTTGCAGGACAAGGGACCAGATTAATCACTGGTGAAAAGCACCAAAGTGAGTGAGAGTATACTGGTGATGAATTTGGCACAGCATGTCCCATTTCATTTAATTTGCCAGGTCTCTAGTTTTAACTCTAACCTTCTTTGGCTGAATGGGTTAATGTAGTGTCTACAATTCCCTCACTTCCAGCTGAGTCTGCTGACTAAAAAAATAAGAACTCCAGCAAGGCCATCATGTTGATTTATACTAACCCACAAAACTGTATCCAGGGTTGTTTTACCATTATTATGGGATACAGTTGCCAAGGGGTTACCACTGCCATGTAGTTAATGAGGGAGATGTTGATTAGCTACTGAAATATTCTAGTATCATTACTGTGGGAGTAATCCAACTAAAGCCATATAATAAACCTGAATAGTAGCAGCTATAGGTTTAATATATTTCATTATAAAAGATGCTAGATGTAGATACTTACATCATAATCCTCCTGGAGGGTAACCACACGGCCAGGCTACACAGGGAGAGAAACATCATTTTAGAAACCAGATCAAGTACCAAGTCACCAGTACAGGCAGGCTAGGATGATACAGCCCTGCTGACACCCACCGTAGCTCCAGGTACCACCACTATGCTGCAAGTCACTGCAGGCACATGAGACAGCTGCAGGGCACCCAGCATCATAAAGATGGCACCAGCTTCAGACAGGGTATGGGTTGTGCCAGGAGGCAGCAGGGTGGGAAGGAGGCAGATTTTTTTTCAAGATTATTAGATCTGGAGCTAAATTTACAAACAGCTGAATCCTGGAGAGAGTCTGGGCAGGTGCCTTTATCAGTATCAAGGGCTACTTTTCACTTCCAGTAGAGGGATCTAGCCAATCCCACCCAGGCACTGACTCGAGGTGCTCCAAGGGCACGTAGGTGCCAAAGGGGTGGCTTGGATTGGCTACTTCCCGCCACCCCCGTGCCCATGGCAAGGAGCGGGAGATTCACCCCCAGGGTTACCCACCTTCTCCCCTCCCTGGGCCCGCACTCCCTCCTTGTGCCCCGCCCCCCAGCAGCCCGGGCCGATTCCCGCACCACCACCGCAGCCCGGGGCCCGATCCCCCTTTACCATCTTGTCGTTGCCGCGGTGGAAGGTGTCTCCCTGCCAGAAGCGGCGGCTGTAGCCGCGGATGAAGCCCACCTTCCTGGAGCTGAACTCGAAGTCGGGTCTCCACACCAGGGAGCCGTAGCCGAAGATCCAGAGGGGCGTTTTCTGCTCCCCAGCATCCTCCTCCTCCTGCGCCTGGCGCTCCGCGGGCAGCTTCATCGCCCGGCTGCACGGACCCAGCAGGCGGGGGCGGCGGCCGCTGGCGGCGAGGCGGGGGCAGCAGCGCTGCAGTAGGCTCCCGAGGCTGCTGCACGGGGGCAGCCCCAGCGCAGGGGCGGGGCGGCGAACACGGCTGGGGCCCCCCGCAGCGGGGACGGGGCTACCGGGCACTGGGCGAAACGCGGGGCAGCCCCAGCGCTTTATACCCCAGCCCGGCGCAAGCTCCGCCCACCTGTCACAGTGAGGTGCGCTAGGAAGGAACTCGTTGTCGCCGCCTCCAATCAGCAGCCCCGGCTCCGGTCCCCTGCCTCCATGCGGAACTGTGATTGGGAGGAAGGGCCTTCAGTCCCGGCGGAGCTCGCTCGCTGATTGGTCGAATGCTGACTCCTGTATCAATCCAGGATGATGCAACGGAACGGGGATCTTTCGCCGGGCCGTGCGTAGAGCAAAGCCGGCGGCTGATTGCATCAGGTAGCCAGGGCATGGCGAGAGGCTGGGGGCGGGACGGATGTGGGTCAGTAGGAAAAAGGCTGTGTCGTGGAACGCTGATAGCTTGGACTGGTCCAAGCCTCACAGCCGAGTTCAATGCCTGTCTCTGTCCCTCACTCTCTAAAATGGGCACAATCATGCTTACCTGTACCACAGCCTAAGCTAAATAGTGATGTTACGCTGATGGGGAGGGAGGATGTTGTAAGTATCTAAATCGTAGTAGTGGGAAGGGATAGAATACAGTAAAGATCTGGTGTTAAGATGTAAAGAAACAGGTTATCAGAATAAATGGTTTGAACTTCCAAACTGCTAAATCATTTAATTACATAGTCTTATTACTGATACCTCCTCCTCCCACCCCTCCTCTCCTATTGTTTGGCACCGACGTGATATGTTTTATCTCAGACTAAACTGTACAATTTCTAGGGCAAGGACTACTTGTTTTATACAGATCTTCTGGCACAGGGGAGCCCTGTCCCTGACTGGGGCTACTGGAAGATAAATGAATAATACTGGGAGAGAAGCAACAGAGAGTCCTGTGGCACCTTTAAGACTAACAGATGTATTGGAGCATAAGCTTTCGTGGGTGAATACCCACTTCGTCAGACGCATGTAATGGAAATTTCCAGAGGCAGGTATAAATATGCAGGCAGGAATCAGTCTGGAGATAGCGAGGTTAGTTCAATCAGGGAGAGTGATCCTCCTCTAGCAGTTGAGGTGCGAACACCAAGGGAGGAAAAACTGTTTCTGTAGTTGGATAGCCATTCACAGTCTTTGTTTAATCCTGATCTGATGGTGTCAAATTTGCAAATGAACTGAAGCTCAGCAGTTTCTCTTTGGAGTCTGGTCCTGAAGTTTTTTTGCTGTAAGATGGCTACCTTTACATCTGCTATTGTGTGGCCAGGCAGGTTGAAGTCTTCTCCTACAGGTTTTTGTATATTGCCATTCCTGATATCTGACTTGTGTCCATTTATCCTTTTACCTAGTGACTGTCCAGTTTGGCCAATGTACATAGCAGAGGGGCATTGCTGGCACATGGATGGCATATATAACATTGGTGGATGTGCAGGTGAATGAACCGGTGATGTTGTAGCTGATCTGGTTAGGTCCTGTGATGGTGTTGCTGGTGTAGATATGTGGGCAGAGTTGGCATCGAGGTTTGTTGCATGGATTGGTTCCTGAGTTAGAGTTGTTATGGTGCGGTGTGTGGTTGCTGGTGAGAATATGCTTAAGGTTGGCGGGTTGTCTGTGGGCGAGGACTGGCCTGCCTCCCAAGGTCTGTGAAAGCGAGGGATCATTGTCCAGGATGGGTTGTAGATCACTGATGATGCGTTGGAGAGGTTTAAGCTGAGGACTGTAGGTGATGGCCAGTGGAGTTCTGTTGGTTTCCTTCTTGGGCTTGTCTTGTAGCAGAAGGCTTCTGGGTACACGTCTGGCTCTGTTGATTTGTTTCCTTATTTCCTTGTGCGGATATCGTCGTTACTTCTCTGGGAGAGAAGTATCAGGGGATAGCCATGTTAGTCTGTATCCACAAAAACAACAAGGAGGCTGGGGGCACCTTAAAGACTAACAGATTTATTTGGGCATAAGCTTTCGTGGGTAAAAAACCTCACTTCTTCAGATGCCTGGAGTGAAAGTTACAGATGCAGGCATTATATAATGACACATGAAGAGAAGGGAGTACCTCACAAGTGGAGAACCAGTGTTGACAGGGCCAATTCGATCAGGGTGGATGTAGTCCACTCCCAATAATAGATGAGGAGGTGTCAATTCCAGGAGAGGCAAAGCTGCTTTTGTAATGAGCCAGCCACTCCCAGTCCCTATTCAAGCCCAAATTAATGGTGTTAAATTTGCAAAGGTAAGTATAGTGGTCAGCAGGTTTCCGGTATAGGGTGGTGTTTATGTGACCATCACTTATTTGCACTGTAGTGTCCAGGAAATGGATCTCGTGTGGACGGGTCCAGGCTAAGGTTCATGGTGGGGTGGAAATTGTTGAAATCCAGGTGGAATTCTTCAAGGGCCTCCTTTCCGTGGGTCCATATGATGAAGATGTCATCGATGTAGCGCAAGTAGAAGAGGGGCGCTAGGGGACGAGAGCTGAGGAAGCGTTGTTCTAAGTCAGCCATAAAAATGTTGGCATACTATGGGGCCATGCGGGTACCCATAGCAGTGCCACTGACTTGAAGGTATAAGTTGTCCCCAAATCTGAAATGGTTGTGGGTGAGGACAAAGTCACAAAGCTCAGCCACCAGGTGAGCTTTGGTCTCATCAGGAATACTGTTCCTGACAGCTTGTAGTCCATCCTCATGTGGAATATTGGTGTAAAGCGCTTCTACATCCATGGTGGCCAGGATGGTGTTTTCAGGAAGATCATCAATGCATTGTAGTTTCCTCAGGAAGTCGGTGGTGTCTCGAAGATAGCTGGGAGTGCTGGTAGCATAGGTTCTGAGGAAAGAACCCCAGCCTAGACCAGTCCACACAAGAGATCCACTGGACCACTATATTTACCTACATGCCTCCAGCTTCCATCCAGGACACATCACACAATCCATTGTATACAGCCAAGCCCTAAAATACAACCGAATTTGCTCCAATCCCTGACAGAGACAAACACCTACAAGATCTTTATCCAGCATTCTTAAAACTACAATACTCACCTGGGGAAGTGAGGAAACAGATTGACAGAGCGAGGCGGGAACCCAGGAATCACCTACTACAGGACAGGCCCCACAAGGAAAATAACAGAACACCACTGGCCATCACGTACAGCCCCCAGCTAAAACTTCTCCAGCGCATTATCAATGATCTACAACCTATCCTGGAAAACGATCCCTCACTCACAACAGACCTTGGGAGGCAGGCCAATCCTCGCTTACAGACAGCCCCCCAACCTGAAGCAAATACTCACCAGCAGCTATACACCACACCACAGAAACCAATCCCTGTAGCAAACCTCGTTGCCTACTCTGTCCCCATATCTACTTTAGCAACACCATCAGAGGACCCAACCACATCAGCCACACCATCAAGGGCTCATTCACCTGCACGTCTACTAATGTTATATGTGCCAACAATGCCCCTCTGCCATGTACATTGGCCAAACCGGACAGTCCCTATGTAAAAGAATAAATGGACACAAATCGGACATCAGGAAGGGTAACATACAAAAGCCAGTAGGTGAACACTTCAACCTCCCTGGACATTCTATAACAGATTTAAAAGTCGTTATTCTTGAACAAAAAAACTTCAGAAACAGACTTCAAAGAGAAACAGCAAAACTAAAATTCATTTGCAAATTTAACACCATTAATTTGGGCTTGAATAGGGACTGGGAGTGGCTGGCTCACTACAAAAGCAGCTTTGCTTCTCCTGGAATTGACACCTCCTCATCTATTATTGGGAGTGGACTACATCCACCCTGATCGAATTGGCCCTGTCAACACTGGTTCTCCACTTATGAGGTACTCCCTTCTCTTCATGTGTCATTATATAATGCCTGCATCTGTAACTTTCACTCCATGCATCTGAAGAAGTGAGGTTTTTTACCCACGAAAGTTTAGGCCCAAATAAATCTGTTAGTCTTTAAGGTGTCACTGGACTCCTTGTTGTTTTTACTGGGAGAGAAGGGCTAGGATGGGAGCAGTATTGGTTCAATGGAATAGGATGAGGGGAATAGTGGAGGGAGTGGCGTAGCTGGGGGAAGTGCTGGGCATAGGGGATTGAACGAGAGACAGTGCCAGGTGAATTAAATAATAATCAACTTTATTACAGTAGCACCTAGAGAGCACAAGGGAGATTAAGATAGTCTATTGTTAGATTAATGGGATAGGAGTAGTCAGTATTGGATTAATTATATAGGAATAGTGTCCTAAGGGAATTCTTTGAAGTGCCAGGGTTTGCAATATTTTAAACTGAACTAGACCAAGCACAGGAACACACCCTGATGGAACAACCCTGCAATGATCTAAAAGCAATTTACATATTCTGTGTCTCTGATATCAGGCCACCTTGAATAAGCATATTAGCTGGATGATTCTGATAAACTGATCAGAAGTAAAATAATTAAAAATGCTGACAATGAAATTATCATGTTGCTCTATAGGCCAGACTTCCCCCTGATGCTCTGGTAGTCATGCTAAGAAGAGAAAATGCTAGCCTGCTAGGAATACATATTTTCAGTGATGTACTGTATTAACAAACAAATACATATGCTTATGGTAACATTTTGATTGATTTACCAAAAAGATACAAGTTAATAAAATGTCTGTATATGAAAAAGAGGAAGGAATAAGACTGAAATTGTAAATGGGACTGGCTATAGGAAGGTCAATTTGTAAACCAAATTCAAAACTAGGATTAGACAAATAGTGCAAGCTAAACTGTCTTGTCTTCTGCCTGCAGGAATGGGTTTTCACAGATTGTAGTGATGTATCTCTCGTTCTGTTATGTGCTGTCTAATTAACTAATTATATTAATAAATCCAATCAAGCTTACTTATGCTCTTTAATTACTGAATAAATTCTAACCTTATTAAAACTAGTTGATTACAAATTGGCAACATTCAGTAGCCTTGGTATTAACAATCTGTTTAAATGAATAGGAGCTCTTCAGATTGCTCTTAGAGCTACTGAGGTTATGCCGTAGATGAATGTGTTTCATTC